ACCATATAAGCAAGCAAAGCCACCCATGGAGTCAAGAAGGCGAGGCACAGGTCTGGGGATAAACGTGCGCATGCCCAAATATCTGGAACGGTTTAAGCTACATGACGAAAAAGAATATTTCTATGGAAAATCTGTAAACTAACCCTATGATCACAGCACCAAACGATCTTCCAGCACCAGGAGCATGTGCAACTGTATTCAGCATTATTCTGAGGGGCGTGCTATTGTCACTCGACGAGATGCCCAACTGAACAATTCAATAAAATTAAAAACATCATTAACGCTACCAATGTGATAACAAAAATATAGGAAACAAAAACTGTCACATAAGTTGGCCAGCAAAGGACTTTGATACTCACGTGAGGTGCCAATATCTCCGCATCCAGCTTGTTGTAAACAGTGCGTATCTTAGCTAAAGTCATTTCGCTGGTAGCCATTCCATTTAAGGCAAAAACAATCTGAAATCCCACACTTACGTCGTGTTTTCTACATAAACATCCTTCCTACCTTTTCCTCCTGCACTAAAGATGTCCTTTCAGGTCCAAGTGCTTGCAGACTACCAACATAATGTGGTTGTAGATCATAGATAGCACGCACTGCTTCTGGTGTCAGCGGTTCCTCTATCAAGAATGTAGAGGCAAGACGGTACCTAGAGAAAACGCTCAGGTAAGCAGCATTTATTGAAAGCGCATACAAACCTCAATCGACTTGGTCTTCGCATAATTGGTAAAGTGCCTATCATAGCGTTCACAACATGAGTCTGGGCCAACTGCGTTGCTGCTCCACCAGCTGTTTGTACAATGTATTGTAGCTTCTGTGTGGTTACCAGTCGTCCATTTAGATATACACTGGCCTGAAGCAGAGGATGTAGTGCCGGAGTTGGCATTTATGAGATAGAGTTAACCAACCTGACTAGGTTTCAACACCGACCGAGACAAGATGACGCACAAATGAACCCATTCCATGGGTCGAAGTATGTCAGCCATGGCTATTCGGATAGACTAAACATATTTCGTATGGAAATGCATAACAGATTCGAAAAAATAAAAGCAATCAAGTTACTGAAAATCAAATTGCGAGTTGCGCTATAATGTATATTCCCCACCTTTTCAGACGGTATTTTCGCCTCTTTTTCTAAGTCGCCTCCAGGATTTTCATGCTCATCTGTAGATATCAACAGACTTCTATCGATAGGACTCACTTGAATAGTCAAGCAGGCCAGATGACATGGTCCCTATAAGAATAGTTTACTAATCGAGATTTTTTAAGTAGGCAGTTAATAGAAGAATAGAAAATGGAAAAGCAGACATCGAGAAAGAGCCAACAGCAACACATATTCAAAACCATGGAAAGTC